CTACTACTACTACACCACTACTACACTACTACTACACTACTACTACTACACTACTACTACACTACTACTACTACACTACTACTACTACACTACTATTACACTACTACTACACTACTACTACACTACTACTACTACACTACTACTACTACACTACTATTACACTACTACTACACTACTACTATTACACTACTACTACACTACCACTACTACACTACTATTACACTACTACTACACTACCACTACTACACTACTACTACTACACTACTACTACACTACTACTACTACACTACCACTACTACACTACTACTACTACACTACTACTACACTACTATTCCACAACTACTACTTCACTACTTCTGCACTACTACTACTACACTACCACTACTACGACACTACCACTACTCAACTACTACACTACCACTACTACGACACTACCACTACTCAACTACTACACTACCACTACTCCAATACTACACTACTACTACATTACACTACTACTACACTACCACTACTACTACATTACACTACTACTACACTACCACTACTACACTACCACTACTACTACATTACACTACTACTACACTACCACTACTACTACATTACACTACTACTACACTACCACTACTACTACTACACTACTACTACACCACTGCTTCGACACTACACTTCCACTACTACACTACTATTCCACTACTACTACACTACCACTACTCCACTATTACACTACACTACTACTACTACACTACCACTACGCTACCACACTACTACTACCACACCAATACTACTACACCACTACTACGCTACTACTATACCACTTCTACACTACTACTACACCACTACTACTACACTACCACTACACTAATACTCCACTACACTACCACTACACTACTACTATAACACTACTACTACACTACCACTACTACTACACTACTAGTACACCACTACTACTATAACACTACTACTACACTACCACTACTACTACACTACTAGTACACCACTACTACACAACTACTACACTACCACTACACCACTACTACTACACCACTACTACACTACTGCTCCTGACGCGGTTGTTATCTGGGCTCGAACCACCTGAATGTGACAAAGTCGCCGTCATTCTTGACGCTGCATCTACATCTTCATCAGCAGCGGCCACCGTACGACAACAACAAGAGAAAAGAAAGAACCTGTTATACCTTGGGCAGAGGCTTTAGGGAGAACGGATTGAGCGGAGCAGATGATGTCGGCTTCTTCTTGGGCAGAGGGGGAGTGGCGGCCATGGTCTGTCACAAGCGCAGGGCGATGGTAAAGATGTCAGCCGCCAACACAACAACAGCAGCAGCAGCAGCAGCAGCCGCCGTTCGCCACTAAGTGGCAGTGTGACCCCACCACCGAGCCTGTGCCAGGCCAAGTGCCCCCCCCGCTTTGAGACCACGTGAAGCGTCGAAGGCTCTCGCTGCCGACAGGTCACGGGTCGGGAAGCTCCGGGAACCTGCTGGAAGGTTCTAGAAGGGGGGCGTGGCCGGAGGCGGGGCCTGGCCACGCCGGGGAGTATATAAAGGAGGGCGTGGCCGGAGGCGGGGCATGGACACGCCGGGGAGTATATAAAGGGGGGCGTGGCCAGAGGCGGGGCATGGCCACGCCGGGGAGTATATAAAGGGGGGGCGTGGCCGGAGGCGGGGCATGGCCGCGCCGGTGAGTATATAAAGGTGGGCGTGGCCGGAGGCGGGGCATGGCCACGCCGGGGAGCATATAAAGGGGGGACGTGAGCGAAGGTTCGGGGCTGTCGTGGGGGTCCCGGGTTTTGGTTGCCGTCGCCGTCTTCACCGTCATCGCCTCTCTCCTCGTCGTCCGGCCGCGTGGCCGATCCCCTGCACGGCTCCCATCATCGTCGTCGTCATCGCTACATCAGTCTGCCAGCCGTGTAGTTAGACGCCGACGATGGGGCCGCGTAGATGGGTCGGCTGTGCGCGGCCGTGTGTGTTCATTGTGCCTGAAGTCGCTCACTGCACAGCTGTGCTGTAATCCCGAATTTGTTAAACCCAGGGTCGGAATTCGCGAAGGCCAGCCCCAAGAAGTTGGCAGGCGTTGCTTTAAAGGCGGGGAGGGGGGGGGGGTGAGGGTTTCATATTTCGCTGTGGACAAGAAGACCCAGAGCTTCCTCCGGAGTGACAGAGCCAGGCAAACACAACCTCACCAGGTTATTCGTTTGAGGCTGAGTCGACCTAGGGGAGGCCCAGGGCCGGTTCAGATATCCGTCAGTGGTGCTGTTGGGTAGGCCGTGAGCGGGAATCGAACTCGGGCCTATGCCGGGTTCGTAGCGCAGCGCGGCTCACCGCTACTACCACTACCGCCACACGCGCGCACAACAACAACAACCGCCATTCGCCACTAAGTGGCGGTGACATCACCACGACGCTTGTGCCAGGCTATGTGCACCTTGAGGCTTCCACGTGAAGTGTCGAACGCCCGCTGGCAGGAGGTCACGGGGCAGACCCAGCAGGTGCCACGGGTCGACTGACTGAGATGACTGAGATGACTGGCTGATGCACCACCTGTGCCCCCTACTGTGACAACCTGCTATGCTTTAGCCACCCAGCGCTCCGCCCGTTGTTGTGAGTGTCGCTCCTCCGCCCTCCATTGTTGTTGGAGGGCGACTGCCTACAACTGCCCAGTAGCAGCGTCCTTCACGAGCCTCCTCCACAGAGGCCAATCTTGACACAGCTGGTACCAGTCATCGGCAAGTCCACTCAGCTCCACGTCCTCCTGTACCACGTGAATCCATCTCTTCTCTAGCCCGTGCCGCGCCCGTTCAGCCCCCTCGATCCGGCCGAACAAAAGCTGTTTCGGCATGCGGTGGCTGGGCACGCGGGCTACATGACCCAGCCAACGCAGCCTTGCCGGCCGGAGGAGCTCACCGATGGGACTTTGTCCAGATCACGCACACACACGCAAACGCGTACAACAACCCCACCTCAGACTGTAGGTCCTGCAAGATGTCCCCAAGCAGGTCGTCCTTGGACAGATCCACGTCCTTCTGCAAAAAAAAAAACACACGGGGAGCAGAAGAGGGGGGGGAGGGGCACCGAATAAGCGTGAACGTTTTTGTTCCCATGGGCGTGCAGGAGGTGCAATCTGCCAGGTAGGAGGCGGTGCAGGATAGTGTGTGGACTAATCTCCATCTGTTCCATTTCCCACTCCCTTCTACGCCGTGGGTGGACTAATCTCCATCTGTTCCATTTCCCACTCCCTTCTACGCCGTGGGTGGACTAATCTCCATCTGTTCCATTTCCCACTCCCTTCTACGCCGTGGGTGGACTAATCTTCATCTGTTCCATTTCCCACTCCCTTCTACGCCGTGGGTGGGCAAATCTCCATCTGTTCCATTTCCCACTCCCTTCTACGCCGTGGGTGGACTAATCTCCATCCGTTCCATTTCACACTCCCTTCTACGCCGTGGGTGGACAAATCTCCATCTGTTCCATTTCCCACTCCCTTCTACGCCGTGGGTGGACTAATCTTCATCTGTTCCATTTCCCACTCCCTTCTACGCCGTGGGTGGACTAATCTTAATCTGTTCCATTTCCCACTCCCTTCTACGCCGTGGGTGGACTAATCTCCATCTGTTCCATTTCCCACTCCCTTCTATGCAGTGGGTGGACTAATCTCCATCTGTTCTATTTCCCACTCCCTTCTACGCCGTGGGTGGACTAATCTCCATCTGTTCCATTTCACACTCCCTTCTACGCCGTGGGTGGACTAATCTTCATCTGTTCCATTTCTCACTCCCTTCTACGCCGTGGGTGGACTAATCTCCATCTGTTCCATTTCCCACTCCCTTCTACGCCGTGGGTGGACTAATCTCCATCTGTTCCATTTCCCACTCCCTTCTACGCCGTGGGTGGACTAATCTCCATCCGTTCCATTTCCCACTCCCTTCTACGCCGTGGGTGGACTAATCTCCATCTGTTCCATTTCCCACTCCCTTCTACGCCGTGGGTGGACTAATCTCCATCTGTTCCATTTCCCACTCCCTTCTACGCCATGGGTGGACTAATCTCCATCTGTTCCATTTCACACTCCCTTCTACGCCGTGGGTGGACTAATCTCCATCTGTTCCATTTCCCACTCCCTTCTACGCCGTGGGTGGACTAATCTTCATCTGTTCCATTTCCCACTCCCTTCTACGCCGTGGGTGGACTAATCTCCATCTGTTCCATTTCCCACTCCCTTCTTCGCCATGGGTGGGCTAATCTCCATCTGTTCCATTTCCCACTCCCTTCTACGCCGTGGGTGGACTAATCTCCATCTGTTCCAGTTCCCACTCCCTTCTACGCCGTGGGTGGACTAATCTCCATCTGTTCCATTTCCCACTCCCTTCTACGCCGTGGGTGGACTAATCTCCATCTGTTCCATTTCCCACTCCCTTCTACGCCGTGGGTGGACTAATCTCCATCTGTTCCATTTCCCACTCCCTTCTACGCCGTGGGTGGACTAATCTCCATCTGTTCCATTTCCCACTCCCTTCTACGCCGTGGGTGGACTAATCTCCATCTGTTCCATTTCCCACTCCCTTCTACGCCGTGGGTGGGCTAATCTTCATCTGTTCCATTTCCCACTCCCTTCTACGCCGTGGGTGGACTAATCTCCATCTGTTCCATTTCCCACTCCCTTCTACGCCGTGGGTGGACTAATCTCCATCCGTTCCATTTCCCACTCCCTTCTACGCCGTGGGTGGACTAATCTTCATCTGTTCCATTTCCCACTCCCTTCTACGCCGTGGGTGGACTAATCTCCATCTGTTCTATTTCCCACTCCCTTCTACGCCGTGGGTGGACTAATCTCCATCTGTTCCATTTCACACTCCCTTCTACGCCGTGGGTGGACTAATCTTCATCTGTTCCATTTCTCACTCCCTTCTACGCCGTGGGTGGACTAATCTCCATCTGTTCCATTTCCCACTCCCTTCTACGCCGTGGGTGGACTAATCTCCATCTGTTCCATTTCCCACTCCCTTCTACGCCGTGGGTGGACTAATCTCCATCCGTTCCATTTCCCACTCCCTTCTACGCCGTGGGTGGACTAATCTCCATCTGTTCCATTTCCCACTCCCTTCTACGCCGTGGGTGGACTAATCTCCATCTGTTCCATTTCCCACTCCCTTCTACGCCATGGGTGGACTAATCTCCATCTGTTCCATTTCACACTCCCTTCTACGCCGTGGGTGGACTAATCTCCATCTGTTCCATTTCCCACTCCCTTCTACGCCGTGGGTGGACTAATCTTCATCTGTTCCATTTCCCACTCCCTTCTACGCCGTGGGTGGACTAATCTCCATCTGTTCCATTTCCCACTCCCTTCTTCGCCATGGGTGGGCTAATCTCCATCTGTTCCATTTCCCACTCCCTTCTACGCCGTGGGTGGACTAATCTCCATCTGTTCCATTTCCCACTCCCTTCTACGCCGTGGGTGGACTAATCTCCATCCGTTCCATTTCCCACTCCCTTCTACGCCGTGGGTGGACTAATCTTCATCTGTTCCATTTCCCACTCCCTTCTACGCCGTGGGTGGACTAATCTCCATCTGTTCTATTTCCCACTCCCTTCTACGCCGTGGGTGGACTAATCTCCATCTGTTCCATTTCCCACTCCCTTCTACGCCGTGGGTGGACTAATCTCCATCTGTTCCATTTCCCACTCCCTTCTACGCCGTGGGTGGACTAATCTCCATCTGTTCCATTTCCCACTCCCTTCTACGCCGTGGGTGGGCTAATCTTCATCTGTTCCATTTCCCACTCCCTTCTACGCCGTGGGTGGACTAATCTCCATCTGTTCCATTTCCCACTCCCTTCTACGCCGTGGGTGGACTAATCTCCATCCGTTCCATTTCCCACTCCCTTCTACGCCGTGGGTGGACAAATCTCCATCCGTTCCATTTCCCACTCCCTTCTACGCCGTGGGTGGACTAATCTCCATCCGTTCCATTTCCCACTCCCTTCTACGCCGTGGGTGGACTAATCTTCATCTGTTCCATTTCCCACTCCCTTCTACGCCGTGGGTGGACTAATCTTCATCTGTTCCATTTCCCACTCCCTTCTACGCCGTGGGTGGGCTAATCTCCATCTGTTCCATTTCCCACTCCCTTCTACGCCGTGGGTGGACTAATCTCCATCTGTTCCATTTCACACTCCCTTCTACGCCGTGGGTGGACTAATCTTCATCTGTTCCATTTCCCACTCCCTTATACGCCGTGGGTGGACTAATCTCCATCTGTTCCATTTCCCACTCCCTTCTACGCCGTGGGTGGACTAATCTCCATCTGTTCCATTTCCCACTCCCTTCTACGCCGTGGGTGGGCTAATCTTCATCTGTTCCATTTCCGACTCCCTTCTACGCCGTGGGTGGACTAATCTCCATCTGTTCCATTTCCCACTCCCTTCTACGCCGTGGGTGGACTAATCTCCATCCGTTCCATTTCCCACTCCCTTCTACGCCGTGGGTGGACAAATCTCCATCCGTTCCATTTCCCACTCCCTTCTACGCCGTGGGTGGACTAATCTCCATCCGTTCCATTTCCCACTCCCTTCTACGCCGTGGGTGGACTAATCTTCATCTGTTCCATTTTCCACTCCCTTCTACGCCGTGGGTGGACTAATCTTCATCTGTTCCATTTCCCACTCCCTTCTACGCCGTGGGTGGACTAATCTTCATCTGTTCCATTTCCCACTCCCTTCTACGCCGTGGGTGGACTAATCTTCATCTGTTCCATTTCCCACTCCCTTCTACGCCGTGGGTGGGCTAATCTCCATCTGTTCCATTTCCCACTCCCTTCTACGCCGTGGGTGGACTAATCTCCATCCGTTCCATTTCACACTCCCTTCTACGCCGTGGGTGGGCTAATCTTCATCCGTTCCATTTCCCACTCCCTTCTACGCCGTGGGTGGACTAATCTTCATCTGTTCCACTTCCCACTACCTTCTACGCCGTGGGTGGACTAATCTCCATCTGTTCCATTTCCCACTCCCTTCTACGCCGTGGGTGGACTAATCTCCATCCGTTCCACTTCCCACTCCTTTCTACGCCGTGGGTGGGCTAATCTCCATCTGTTCCATTTCCCACTCCCTTCTACGCCGTGGGTGGACTAATCTCCATCCGTTCCATTTCCCACTCCCTTCTACGCCGTGGGTGGACTAATCTTCATCTGTTCCATTTCCCACTCCCTTCTACGCCGTGGGTGGGCAAATCTCCATCTGTTCCATTTCCCACTCCCTTCTACGCCGTGGGTGGACTAATCTTCATCTGTTCCATTTCCCACTCCCTTCTACGCCGTGGGTGGACTAATCTTCATCTGTTCCATTTCCCACTCCCTTCTACGCCGTGGGTGGGCAAATCTCCATCTGTTCCATTTCCCACTCCCTTCTACGCCGTGGGTGGGCAAATCTCCATCTGTTCCATTTCCCACTCCCTTCTACACCGTGGGTGGACTAATCTTCATCTGTTCCATTTCCCACTCCCTTCTACGCCGTGGGTGGACTAATCTTCATCTGTTCCATTTCCCACTCCCTTCTACGCCGTGGGTGGGCTAATCTTCATCTGTTCCATTTCCCACTCCCTTCTACGCCGTGGGTGGGCTAATCTTCATCTGTTCCATTTCCCACTCCCTTCTACGCCGTGGGTGGACTAATCTCCATCTGTTCCATTTCCCACTCCCTTCTACGCCGTGGGTGGACTAATCTCCATCCGTTCCATTTCCCACTCCCTTCTACGCCGTGGGTGGACTAATCTCCATCCGTTCCATTTCCCACTCCCTTCTACGCCGTGGGTGGACTAATCTCCATCCGTTCCATTTCCCACTCCCTTCTACGCCGTGGGTGGGCTAATCTCCATCTGTTCCATTTCTCACTCCCTTCTACGCCGTGGGTGGGCCAATCTCCATCTGTTCCATTTCCCACTCCCTTCTACGCCGTGGGTGGACTAATCTCCATCTGTTCCATTTCCCACTCCCTTCTACGCCGTGGGTGGACTAATCTCCATCTGTTCCATTTCACACTCCCTTCTACGCCGTGGGTGGACTAATCTTCATCTGTTCCATTTCCCACTCCCTTCTACGCCGTGGGTGGGCTAATCTCCATCCGTTCCATTTCCCACTCCCTTCTACGCCGTGGGTGGACTAATCTCCATCTGTTCCATTTCCCACTCCCTTCTACGCCGTGGGTGGACTAATCTCCATCCGTTCCATTTCCCACTCCCTTCTACGCCGTGGGTGGACTAATCTTCATCCGTTCCACGTTTACTTCCCGTGAGCGGGTGTCTGGGAGGAGCCCCCCCCACGCCAGCTCGCCTGCATGGGATACAGCGTTGCCCCCTCGCATGCGTGGGTTTCCTCCCACGTGTATAAACGCTCGTTAATTTGGGGGGGAGGGGGGCCGGGAGAGAGGGGTAGGCACGGCACCTCCACCGTCTTCTTGCCGCCGCTCGCCATGAACATGCTCTTGATGTTGCTCGACTTGGTGACCGGCTTTTTCGCCTCGCCACCGGCGGTCTTGCGGGAGTCGCCAACGCCCTTGCGGTCTGCACGAAAGAAAAATAAATTTTAAATTGGCGTAGGGCACGGCGGGCTCCCCGCTTATCCGCGCTAACGACTGCGAGGACGCCCGGGGGGATGATCCACGATCGCGGATGACCCACGATCGTGATTTATCCACGATCGTGATTTATCCACGATCGTGATTTATCCACGATCGCGGATGATTCATGAACGGTGAGTGTTTCCGCGTTGCGACGGCGAGTGTTTTCGTGTTGCAACGGTGAGTGTTTTCGTGTTACAATGGTGAGTGTTTCATGTTACAACGGTGAGTGTTTCTGCGTTGCAACGGTGAGTGGTTCTGTGTTGTAACAGTGAGTGTTTCATGTTACAACGGTGAGTGTTTCATGTTACAACGGTGAGTGGTTCCGTGTTGTAACAGTGAGTGTTTCCATGTTACAACGGTGAGTGTTTCCGCGTTGCAACAGTGAGTGTGTCCATGTTACAACGGTGAGTGTTTCATGTTACAACGGTGAGTGTTTCATGTTACAACGGTGAGTGTTTCATGTTACAACGGTGAGTGTTTCATGTTACAACGGTGAGTGTTTCATGTTACAACGGTGAGTGTGTCCATGTTACAACGGTGAGTGTTTCATGTTACAACGGTGAGTGTTTCATGTTACAACGGCGAGTGTTTCCATGTTACAACGGTGAGTGTTTCATGTTACAACAGTGAGTGTTTCATGTTACAACGGTGAGTGTTTCCATGTTACAACGGTGAGTGTTTCATGTTACAACAGTGAGTGTTCCGCGTTGCAACGGTGAGTGTTTCATGTTACAACGGTGAGTGTTTCATGTTACAACGGTGAGTGGTTCCGTGTTGTAACAGTGAGTGTTTCCATGTTACAACAGTGAGTGTTTCCGCGTTACAGCGGTGAGTGTTTCATGTTACAACAGTGAGTGTTTCCGCGTTGCAACAGTGAGTGTTTCATGTTACAACGGTGAGTGTTTCATGTTACAACGGTGAGTGTTTCATGTTACAACGGCGAGTGTTTCCATGTTACAACGGTGAGTGTTTCATGTTACAACGGTGAGTGGTTCCGTGTTGTAACAGTGAGTGTTTCCATGTTACAACGGTGAGTGTTTCATGTTACAACGGTGAGTGTTTCATGTTACAACGGTGAGTGTTTCCGCGTTACAACGGTGAGTGTTTCATGTTACAACAGTGAGTGTTTCCGCGTTGCAACAGTGAGTGTTTCATGTTACAACGGTGAGTGTTTCCATGTTACAACGGTGACTGTTTCATGTTACAACGGTGAGTGTTTAAAGTTACAACGGTGAGTGTTTCCATGTTACAACGGTGAGTGTTTCATGTTACAACAGTGAGTGTGTCCATGTTACAACAGTGAGTGTTTCCGCGTTGCAACAGTGAGTGTTTCATGTTACAACGGCGAGTGTTTCCGTGTTGTAACGGTAAGTGTTTCCGTGTTACAATGGTGAGTGTTCCATGTTACAACGGTGAGTGTTTCATGTTACAACGGTGAGTGTTCCATGTTACAACAGTGAGTGTTTCCGCGTCGTAACGGTGAGTGTTTCATGTTACAACGGTGAGTGTTCCATGTTACAACGGTGAGTGTTTCCATGTTACAACGGTGAGTGTTTCCGCGTCGTAACGGTGAGTGTTTCATGTTACAACGGTGAGTGTTCCATGTTACAGCGGTGAGTGTTTCATGTTACAGCGGTGAGTGTTTCATGTTACAACGGTGAGTGTTTCATGTTACAACGGTGAGTGTTTCATGTTACAGCGGTGAGTGTTTCATGTTACAGCGGTGAGTGTTTCATGTTACAACGGTGAGTGTTTCCGCGTCGTAACGGTGAGTGTTTCATGTTACAACGGTGAGTGTTTCATGTTACAACAGTGAGTGTTTCATGTCACAACGGTGAGTGTTTTCGCATTACAACAGTGAGTGTTTCCACGTTACAACGGTGAGTGTTTCCGCGTCACAACGGCGAGTGTTTCCGCATTACAAAAGTGAGTGTTTTCATGTTACAACGGTGAGTGTTTTCATGTTACAACAGTGAGTGTTTCATGTTACAACGGTGAGTGTTTCATGTTACAACGGTGAGTGTTTCATGTTACAACGGTGAGTGTTTCATGTTACAACGGTGAGTGTTTCATGTTACAACGGTGAGTGTTTCCGCGTTACAACGGTGAGTGTTTCCATGTTACAACGGTGAGTGTTTCCGCATTACAACGGTGAGTGTTTTCATGTTACAACAGTGAGTGTTTCATGTTACAACGGTGAGTGTTTCATGTTACAACGGTGAGTGTTTCATGTTACAACGGTGAGTGTTTCATGTTACAACGGTGAGTGTTTCATGTTACAACGGTGAGTGTTTCCATGTTACAACGGTGAGTGTTTCATGTTACAACGGTGAGTGTTTCATGTTACAACGGTGAGTGTTTCCATGTTACAACGGTGAGTGTTTCATGTTACAACGGTGAGTGTTTTCATGTTACAACGGTGAGTGTTTCCGCATTACAACACGAGGCCCGGCACAGCGCGCCGAGGCGGTGGGGGCGGCCAACGCAGCGCCCCCGTACCACGTCGCCACGGTATTCGTCACCAGGGTATTCGTCACCACGGTATTCGTCACCAGGGTATTCGTCACCAGGGTATTCGTCACCAGGGTATTCGTCACCACGGTATTCGTCACCACGGTATTCGTCACCAGGGTATTCGTCACCACGGTATTCGTCACCAGGGTATTCGTCACCACGGTATTCGTCACCACGGTATTCGTCACCACAATATTCGTCACCACGGTATTCGTCACCAGGGTATTCGTCACCACGGTATTCGTCACCACGGTATTCGTCACCAGGGTATTCGTCACCACGGTATTCGTCATCACGGTATTCGTCACCAGGGTATTCGTCACCAGGGTATTCGTCACCACGGTATTCGTCATCACGGTATTCGTCACCACGGTATTCGTCACCAGGGTATTCGTCACCAGGGTATTCGTCACCAGGGTATTCGTCACCACGGTATTCGTCACCACGGTATTCGTCACCAGGGTATTCGTCACCACGGTATTCGTCACCAGGGTATTCGTCACCACGGTATTCGTCACCACGGTATTCGTCACCACAATATTCGTCACCACGGTATTCGTCACCAGGGTATTCGTCACCACGGTATTCGTCACCACGGTATTCGTCACCAGGGTATTCGTCACCACGGTATTCGTCATCACGGTATTCGTCACCAGGGTATTCGTCACCAGGGTATTCGTCACCACGGTATTCGTCATCACGGTATTCGTCACCACGGTATTCGTCACCAGGGTATTCGTCACCACGGTATTCGTCACCAGGGTATTCGTCACCAGGGTATTCGTCACCAGGGTATTCGTCACCAGGGTATTCGTCACCACGGTATTCGTCACCAGGGTATTCGTCACCACGGTATTCGTCACCACGGTATTCGTCACCAGGGTATTCGTCACCACGGTATTCGTCACCACGGTATTCGTCACCAGGGTATTCGTCACCAGGGTATTCGTCACCACGGGATTCGTCACCAGGGTATTCGTCACCAGGGTATTCGTCACCACGGTATTCGTCACCACGGTATTCGTCACCAGGGTATTCGTCACCACGGTATTCGTCACCACGGTATTCGTCACCAGGGTATTCGTCACCAGGGTATTCGTCACCACGGTATTCGTCACCACGGTATTCGTCACCAGGGTATTCGTCACCAGGGTATTCGTCACCACGGTATTCGTCACCAGGGTATTCGTCACCAGGGTATTCGTCACCACGGTATTCGTCACCACGGTATTCGTCACCAGGGTATTCGTCACCAGGGTATTCGTCACCAGGGTATTCGTCACCAGGGTATTCGTCACCACGGTATTCGTCACCACGGTATTCGTCACCACGGTATTCGTCACCACGGTATTCGTCACCAGGGTATTCGTCACCACGGTATTCGTCACCACGGTATTCGTCACCACGGTATTCGTCACCAGGGTATTCGTCACCACGGTATTCGTCACCACGGTATTCGTCACCAGGGTATTCGTCACCACGGTATTCGTCACCAGGGTATTCGTCACCACGGTATTCGTCACCAGGGTATTCGTCACCACGGTATTCGTCACCAGGGTATTCGTCACCACGGTATTCGTCACCAGGGTATTCGTCACCACGGTATTCGTCACCACGGTATTCGTCACCAGGGTATTCGTCACCAGGGTATTCGTCACCACGGTATTCGTCACCACGGTATTCGTCACCAGGGTATTCGTCACCAGGGTATTCGTCACCAGGGTATTCGTCACCAGGGTATTCGTCACCACGGTATTCGTCACCAGGGTATTCGTCACCAGGGTATTCGTCACCACGGTATTCGTCACCACGGTATTCGTCACCAGGGTATTCGTCACCACGGTATTCGTCACCAGGGTATTCGTCACCAGGGTATTCGTCACCACGGTATTCGTCACCACGGTATTCGTCACCACGGTATTCGTCACCAGGGTATTCGTCACCACGGTATTCGTCACCACGGTATTCGTCACCAGGGTATTCGTCACCAGGGTATTCGTCACCAGGGTATTCGTCACCACGGTATTCGTCACCACGGTATTCGTCACAAGGGTATTCGTCACCACGGTATTCGTCACCACGGTATTCGTCACCAGGGTATTCGTCACCACGGTATTCGTCACCACGGTATTCGTCACCACGGTATTCGTCACCACGGTATTCGTCACCAGGGTATTCGTCACCACGGTATTCGTCACCACGGTATTCGTCACCACGGTATTCGTCACCACGGTATTCGTCACCAGGGTATTCGTCACCAGGGTATTCGTCACCACGGTATTCGTCACCACGGTATTCGTCACCGTCTCACGCGGCACACGAAAGTGGCAGCCCACACGCCGGTGCTGTAGAGTGACGATGAGGTGGCGAAGAGTGTGAGGGGGGCGGGGAGCGGGAGGGGCGGTGATCGTCCTCACCCCTGTTGCGACTCTCCAGGACATCCTCGGTCAGCTCATCGTCAAAAACCTCGCGGCCGTCCTCGACGTAACCGATGCCGTCTGCGGGCCGGGAGCGGAGGGAGTTGAAACTCGGGCGTGGATTCAACAGAGCAAGTCAAGCCGTGAGAGGTTAAGGGTGCATGAGAGAACCCGTAGACTCACACGGAGACCCGTAGACTCACACGGAGACCCGTAGACTCACACAGAGACCCATAGATTGGCACAGAGGCCCACAGGCTCACACAGAGGCCCACAGGCTCACACAGAGGCCCACAGGCTCACACAGAGACCCACAGACTCACACAGAGACCCATAGATTGGCACAGAGGCCCACAGGCTCACACAGAGGCCTACAGATTCACACAGAGACCCGTAGAATCACACGGAGACCGGTAGACTCACACGGAGACCCGTAGACTCACACAGAGACGCGTAGACTCACACGGAGACCCGTAGACTTACAAGAGATCGACAGACTCACACAGAGACCCGTAGACTCACACGGAGACCGGTAGACTTGCAGAGATCCACAGACTCACACAGAGACCCGTAGAATCACACGGAGACCGGTAGACTCACACAGAGACCCATAGATTGGGACAGAGAGGCCCACAGACTCACACAGACCCACAGATTGGGACAGAGAGGCCCACAGGCTCACACAGAGGCCCAGACTCACAGAGAGGCCCACAGACTCACGCAGAGGCCCACAGGCTCACACAGAGACCCACAGATTGGGACAGAGAGGCCCACAGACTCACAAAGAGGCCCACAGACTCACACAGAGACCCATAGACAGAGAGGCCCACAGGCTCACACAGAGAGGCCCACAGACTCGCACAGAGACCCACAGACTCACACAGAGAGGCCCACAGACTCGCACAGAGACCCACAGACTCACACAGAGAGGCCCACAGACTCACACAGAGACCCATAGACAGAGAGGCCCACAGACTCACACAGAGACCCACAGACTCACACAGAGACCCATAGACAGAGAGGCCCACAGACTCGCACAGAGACCCACAGACTCACACAGAGAGGCCCACAGACTCGCACAGAGACCCGCAGGCTCCCAGGAAACTCAACGCAGGCACCGAGAGACCAGGACCAGTCGTGCCCATGGGGCATCGTTACCATCGTCCACGATCCAGTCGTCGTCCTGACGATCCCGCACGCGGTTCGAGTACTCCTCCTCCGTCACCTCGTCATACACACGCATCACGTCCTCCACCTACAAGACAAAGATTTTCCCCCCCTCCCCTTAAGTCTACACGCGCAAGCGTAAGCCGAACTAAAACTTGTTTTTATTTTTAGCAGGTGAAGTCCACGGGGCTATGCAGCTCCGTGTACAGCTCGGCCACTAATCTGGCTGTCGCCTGATCAAGCCGGCTGTAATTACTGGAGGAACGTCACAGTACTCAGACTGCAAATGTTGTGGCTTTGCTCTCCAACACACCGGTGTAGTGCTGTACTAGTATACTACACTACACTATACACTACACTATATACACTACACTATACACTAGTGCTGTACTAGTATACTACACCATATACTACACTATACATTACACTAAACACTAGTGCTGTACTAGTATACTACACTATACACTACACTATACACACTACACTATATACACTACACTATACACTACACTATACACTAGTGCTGTACTAGTATACTACACCATATACTACACTATACATTACACTGAACACTAGCGCTGTACTAGTATTCTACACTATACACTAGAGCTGTACTAGTATACTACACTATACACTACACTATACACTAGTGCTGTACGAGTATACTACACTATACACTAGTGCTGTACGAGTATACTACACTATAGACTACACTATACACTAGTGCTGTACTAGTACACTACACTAGACACTACACTATAGACTACACTATACACAAGTGCTGTACTAGTATACTACACTATACACTACATTATACACTAGTGCTGTACCAGTATACTACACTATAGACTACACTATACACAAGTGCTGTACTAGTATACTACACTATACACTACACTATACACTAGTGTTGTACTAGTATACTACACTATACACTACACTATACACTAGTGCTGTACTAGTATACTACACTATATACACTACACTATACACTAGTGCTATACTAGTATACTACACTATATACACTAGTGCTGTACTAGTATACTACACTATACACTACATTATACACTAGTGCTGTACCAGTATACTACACTATACACTAGTGCTGTACTAGTATACTACACTATACACTACACTATACAATAGTGCTGTACTAGTATACTACACTATACACTACACTATACACTAGTGCTGTACTAGTATACTACACTATACACTAGTGCTGTACTAGTATACTACACTATACACTACACTATACACTAGTGCTGTACTAGTACACTACACTATATACACTACACTATACACTAGTGCTGTACTAGTAATGCATTGGCACGTTCTGTTTACGTGACAAACCTGACTCATTGGCTGTGTCGGGTGGTGGCGAGTTTAACGACACATTTGTATATTTATGCGATCTAACCCAAAAAAAAAACCTGTCTTGTCGCTGTACAGCTGTTTTTCAGAAGCGACCTGCATATCACAACTGATAGCTCAACGGAGTGGGTGAGTGAATGGGTGAGTGAGTGGGGGAATCAGTGGGGGAGTGAGTGAGTTGGTGAGTGAGTGGTTGAGTGAGTGGGTGGGTGAGTGGGTGGGTGGGTGAGTGGGTGAGTGAGTGGGTGAATGAGTGGGTGGGTGAGTAAGTGAGTGGGTGAGTGAGTGGATGGGTGAATAAGTGAGTGGGTGGGTGAGTGGGTGAATGAGTGGGTGAGTAAGTGAGTGGGTGAATGAGTGGGTGGGTGAGTGGGTGAGTGGATGGGTAAGTGAGTGGGTGAGTAAGTGAGTGGGTGAGTAAATGAGAAAGTGAGCGAGTGGGTGGGTGAATAAGTGAGCGGGTGGGTGAGTGAGTGGGTGAGTAAGTGGCTGAGTGAGTGGGTGAATGAGTGGGTGGGTGAGTGAGTAGGTGAGTAAGTGGATGGGTGAATAAGTGAGTGGGTGGGTGAGTGGGTGGGTGAGTGGGTGGGTGAGTGGGTGGGTGAGTGGGTGGGTGAGTGGGTGAGTGAGTGGGTGAATGAGTGGGTGGGTGAGTGGGTGAGTAAGTGAGTGAGTGAGTAAGTGAGTGGGTAAGTGAGTGGGAGAGTAAATGAGAAAGTGAGTGAGTGGATGGGTGAATAAGTGAGCGGGTGGGTGAGTAAGTGAGTGGGTGAGCGAGTAAGTGGCTGAGTGAGTGGGTGAATGAGTGGGTGGGTGAGTACGTGAGTGGGTGAGTAAGTGAGTGAGTGAGTGGATGGGTGAATAAGTGAGTGGGTGAGTAAGCGAGTGGGTGAATGAGTGGGTGGGTGAGTGGATGGGTGAGCGAGTAAGTGAGTGGGTGAGTGAGTGGGTGAGTAAATGAGAAAGTGAGCGAGTGGATGGGTGAATAAGTGAGCGGGTGGGTGAGTAAGTGGCTGAGTGAGTGGGTGAATGAGTGGGTGGGTGAGTGGATGGGTGAGCGAGTAAGTGAGTGAGTGAGTGGGTGAATAAATGAGAAAGTGAGCCAGTGGATGGGTGAATAAGTGAGCGGGTGGGTGAGTAAGTGGCTGAGTGAGTGGGTGAATGAGTGGGTGGGTGAGTGGATGGGTGAGCGAGTAAGTGAGTGAGTGAGTGGGTGAATAAATGAGAAAGTGAGCCAGTGGATGGGTGAATAAGTGAGCGGGTGGGTGAGTAAGTGAGTGGGTGAGTGAGTAAGTGGCTGAGTGAGTGGGTGAATGAGCGGGTGAGTAGGTGAGCAAGTGAGTAAGTGAGTGAGTGGATGGGTGAATAAGTGAGCGGGTGGGTGAGTAAGTGAGTGGGTGAGTAAGTGGCTGAGTGAGTGGGTGAATGAGTGGGTGGGTGAGTAGGTGAGCAAGTGAGTAAGTGAGTGAGTGGCGGGGGGGGGGGGCCTTCGCCACTAAACTACGCGCACAACGCGCGCCCCCTAGTAGAGGAATGGAACTCGTCACACAGCCTCTTGCTGTGAGTTGCCACAACTTGCGGTGGTGGTGGTGGCGGTGGTGGTGACGGGATGGGTGTTGCACCTCGTAGGAGACCTTCTCCCCGGCCTTTGCCTTGCGGAGTTTCTCCAAAGCGGCGCTGCGACCCGCCTTGTCCTTCTTGTCTCGGCGACTCCTGGAGCTGGCGAGGGAATCTTCACGGTGGGCAAAAAAACTCATTAAAAAAAAAATTCCGATTTTATTTTAAAAGTGCGCTAAAATGTAACGGATGATTTTCTTTCGGCCGCCGCCGGCTGATGGGAATATTTTTGGAACGTTTGTAACTGAAACGTAAAACAAGTGGAGGCGGCTCCCTGAATATTCCACAGTTCAGGGATCTCCGCGTGTTTTTTGACCTACACGGATCTATGTATATCAATAATAAGGCGTCCATAGAAAATGTAAATCGCTTTCAAGTAGAGAATTAATTGATCAATCGATGCTGATACAGGCATGGATTGGACCACAGGAAATAGACTAACTTTTGATTACAAGATTGTGACTGACCAGTTGAATGGAAAAAAAAAGGTAATATTTAAAAACCACGCTTTTTAAGAAATGTACCGCGCTAGTAATGGCAGAACTCCACACGACTCCAGGAAGTGGTTCCCCAAAAGCTTGCCACAAACGTAAGGGGACCGTGGCCAATTAGAGCCAAGCCGAAACATTAACATGTAAAAAAAAGAACGTTTAAAAATATACATTGATTTTTTTATGATATAATATAGTATTGTCATCAGTATGACATAGGCATAGCAAGTTTGCAGTGGATACCGCATTGGGAAGCGGGTTAAAATTGAGTCACAAGATTTGAGGATACATCAACGGCAAAACAAACACATTCTCCTGCGGGAGGGAGCTGGTTGGAACGTTGGGTTGCTCGGTCAATGGCCAGGGTCAACAACGGGCGGCACCACCACGTGGTGTGTTCAGCAACAATATGCCCGACTGTGAGGGCGGGCACAAGCCGAGGTGAGTTGGTGAAACGTTGAGTTTTATAAGGGGGGCACCACGGGGTGACCAGCCCCTCCCCACCCAGCCCCTCCCCACCCAGCCCCTCCCCACCCAGCCCCTCCCCACCCAGCCCCTCCCCACCCAGCCCCTCCCCACCCAGCCCCTCCCCACCCAGCCCCTCCCCACCCAGCCCCTCCCCACCCAGCCCACCCAGCCCCTCCCACCCAGCCCCTCCCCATCCATACTCCTTGGTTCTATTCGGTAAAGTCACGTTGGTAAAAAAAAACAACAAAAATCACACTACACTATACACTACACTATAACACTACACTATACACTACAACACTATACCCTACTACATTACACTACACTATACACTACACTATAACACTATACACTACTATACACTACACTATACACTACACTATACACTAGTATACTACACTATACACTACAACACTATACCCTACTACATTACACTATACACTACACTATATACTACACTATACACTACACTATACACTAGTATACTACACTATACAACACTATACACTACACTATACACTAGTATACTACACTATACACTACACTATACTACAACACTATACTACACTATACACTACAACACTATACACTAGTATACTACACTATACACTACACTACAACACTATACACTACTACACTACACTATAACACTACTACACTATACACTACTATACACTAGTATACTACACTATACACTACAACACTATACACTACTACACTACCCTATACACTACACTATACACTAGTATACTACACTACACTATACACTACAACACTATACACTACTATACACTACACTATACACTACAACACTATACACTACTATACACTACACTATAACACTATACACTACTATACACTACACTACTATACACTACAACACTATACACCACTACACTACACTATACACTACACTATAACACTATACACTACACTATAACACTATACTACTATACACTACACTATATATAAAACAATAAAATTCTCACGACGTTTCGACTGCAACTCAAGCAATCGTCATCAGGTGTGAAAACCACAGCGAGAAAATGTGAAAAAAGTGGCGTTTAAAAACAAAAAAATTGTTTAAAATTGCGATAAATCGATTATAAATCGATTAATCGTTCAGCCCGATCAACCGCTACACCAGCACGCGCAACACACACAGACAAAGGTCCCCCGTGTAGCCTCTACAGACTGTAGGGACAAGTGCTGTTAGTAGCGAGTAGCAGCAGCTATGAAGGTAGACACAGACAAAGATCCCCCGTGTAGCCTCTACAGACTGCTGGGGCAAGTGCTGTTAGTAGCGAGTAGCAGCACCTATGAAGGTAGACACAGACAAAGGTCCCCCGTGTAGCCTCTACAGACTGCTGGGGCAAGTGCTGTTAGTAGCGAGTAGCAGCAGCTATGAAGGTAGACACAGACAAAGGTCCCCCGTGTAGCCTCTAACAGACTGCAAGGGCAAGTGCTGTTAGTAGCGAGTAGCAGCACCTATGACGGTAGACACAGACAAAGGTCCCCCGTGTAGCCTCTAACAGACTGCTGGGGCAAGTGCTGTTAGCGGGCAGCACCTTTGAAGGCTACCGGCACTGTGGCACACACGAGGGGGTGGGGGGCTACCAGCTCCCACGCCCGGCCGCCTTTGTCTCTCTCCCAGCGGCCGAGCTTAACCGCGCCACCGCTACGCCAGCTAACGCGTTCGAGGCTTCAGATAATCGTCACACGGGGTGTTTGGCGGCCGTGAGCGGTCTACGCCGGGCCCCGTAGGGCACAGCACGCACGCGACTGGCGCTCGTCTAGGTCGACTCGGCCTCAAAACCAAAAAACCCTGCTGGGTTTGAGTCGGCTTTAAGTGAAGAGCAAGCTGAGGAAATCGATAGACTTTAGGTGGGGGGGGGGGGGGGCTGCCGAGTTTGTATCGAGCAGTCCACGGCATAACAAAAACGCATTTTGTATATAAAATAAAACATAATAAAAATTGTAAATATAAAGTCTCCTCACCGCCTTCGCTACCCACCGGCGCCATCGCAGATTTGGCGGGAAACGTCGCAGACCTCTCCCGCGCCTTCGCGCGCTTTCACGCCTCGCCATTGGTTGGCGGCTGAGTGACGTCGGCGAAGGTTTCCCGTGAGTCCATCTTGGGTAGGGGAGATCCCGGGGTGGCATCCACAACGCAAGGTGGCCATGTTAGGTAGGGGACACCACGGTGTGATGTTCACAACGCAAGGTGGCCATGTTGGGTGGGGGACACCACGGGGTGGTGTTCACATCGTAAGGTGGCCGTGTTGGGTAGGGGACACCTCGGGGTGGTGTTCACAACGCAAGGTGGCCATGTTGGGTAGGGGACATCACGGGGTGGCGTTCACGACGCAAGGTGGCCATGTTGGGTAGGGGACCCCACGGGGTGGTGTTCACAACGCAAGGTGGCCATGTTGGGTAGGGGAGATCACGGGGTGGTGTTCACAACGCAAGGTGGCCATGTTGGGTAGGGGACACCACGGGGTGGTGTTCACATCGTAAGGTGGCCATGTTGGGTAGGGGACACCACGGGGTGGCGTTCACGACGCAAGGTGGCCATGTTGGGTAGGGGAGACCACGGGGTGGTGTTCACAACGCAAGGTGGCCATGTTGGGTAGGGGAGACCACGGGGTGGTGTTCACAACGCAAGGTGGCCATGTTGGGTAGGGCACACCACGGGGTGGTTCTTCACAACGCAAGGTGGCCATGTTGGGTAGGGGACAACACGGGGTGGTGTTCACAACGCAAGGTGGCCATGTTGGGTAGGGGACACCACGGGGTGGTGTTCACGACGCAAGGTGGCCATGTTGGGTAGGGGACACCACGGGGTGGTGTTCACGACGCAAGGTGGTCATGTTGGGTAGGGGAGACCACGGGGTGGTGTTCACAACGCAAGGTGGCCATGTTGGGTAGGGGAGACCACGGGGTGGTGTTCACAACGCAAGGTGGCCATGTTGGGTAGGGCACACCACGGGGTGGTTCTTCACAACGCAAGGTGGCCATGTTGGGTAGGGGACAACACGGGGTGGTGTTCACAACGCAAGGTGGCCATGTTGGGTAGGGGACACCACGGGGTGGTGTTCACGACGCAAGGTGGCCATGTTGGGTAGGGGACACCACGGGGTGGTGTTCCCAACGCAAGGTGGCCATGTTGGGTAGGGGACACCACAGTATATTTGGAGGGGGGGGGGGGTTCACAACGCAAGGTGGCCATGTTGGGTAGGGGACACCACGGTGTATAATTGGAGGGGGGGAGGGGTTCACAACGCAAGGTGGCCATGTAAATTTTAATTTGGTTTGATAGCGATTACAGCCGGTTCTGGGCCATCTTTGGAAGGGATATTCGTGTTTATAGCAGGGACGTGCGGTCAGGGGAGGCTGGGGAGGCAGAGCTCACCTAGTTCATAGTTCATAGTTTCATTTATTTTGGTATAGCCCTGTGAGCCATTCGGCTCTTGAATCGGTTGCAACCGCAACAAACAAAAACATGAACAAGAAAAACATCTTAAAGTGATTATTATGTGACTGTGCAAAACAGAAAATCCAGGGAAGAAAAATAACCATCAAAATATTCCTGAATAACTCCAATGAAAATAGTTGTTACGAAAAGAAAAAAAATCGAATGCTCAAATAATATAAATATTAAGATTTTCCCCACTGATCTGTGTTATTTCATTTCTGTACGATTCCAGTCATTTTTGTAGTCAAAATCGCCAAATTTGCGGAGCTCCGTTGCAAATACAGGAAGAGACGAGAGGTGAGGCACCAACGAGGCCAGCCTCCCCTCTGATTGCGCAACCCCTCAGAAACTGGATGGAGCGCAGGCAATAAGCGCGTGCCTGTTACTATCTCAGTACGTCACCAATGTGATGTTTGTAGACCCCTTCATTTCATGTCCTCGCCTTCCATACGTCAGGTAACTTATTTCACGTGTGTATAAAGATATTTAGGCTCGCTGGTCTCGTCGTGAAACTGCAATGGAAAAGCACCAGGGGGAGGCAGCTATCACATCTGCCTCACTGAGGGGGGCGTGTCAGACACACCCCTCAGTGAGGCCACGCCTCCCTCAGTGAGGCCACGCCTCCCTCAGTGAAGCCACGCCTCCCTCCGTGAGGCCACGCCCCCCTCAGTGTGTGAATCTGGCTCTGACACTAGCCAGTGCCTCCCCAGCCATTGACCTCATCGCACGTCATTGGTTGATGGATATTACAGTGCTGGTGGCCATCTTGGGTAGGGATATTCATGGTGATAAATATTACAGTGCTGGCGGCCATCTTGGATAGGGATACTCGTGTTGATGGAGATTACAGTGCTGGTGGCCATTTTGAGTAAGGACACTCGTGTTGCTAGGTCACAGCGCTGGTGGCCATCTTGGGTAGGGATATTCGTGTTGACAAACACTAGTGTTGGTGGCCATCTTGGGTAGGGATACTCGTAAAGCATTAAAGCTTTCGTGACTGCATAAAATTACTCATTGTTTTTTTCGGTAAAGTCACGTGTGTAGAAATACAATAAAATTATATTAAAACAAAAAACAATCACGACGTTTCGATCACAACGCAAGCGATCTTCATCAGGTGTCATCAACAAATCACAGAGGTAAATACAACACAAAAAGATGAGAGACGAGAATTCAACAAACCTAAGAAAAACATTACGTGAAGCCACATCCAGTCAGGCCAACAACACAGTTAGACACTTCCTGGCGAAACCACGAATTTCAGAAGAGCGTTAAATTTCGTGTTCAAACTTTGGATTGCACATACCAGCATAGATAGAATGAAAAATACGAGGTACACGGTCAGTAGGACTTGTATATATGTATTTCTACTGACCGTGTACCTCGTATTTTTTCATTCTATCTATGCTGGTATGTGCAATCCAAAGGTTGAACACGACATTTAACAATCTTCTGAAATCCGTGGTTTCGCCAGGAAGTGTCTGTGTTGTTGGCCTGACTGGATGTGCTTCACGTAATGTTTTTTTCAGTTTTGTTGAATTCTCGTCTCTCATCTTTTTGTTGTATTTACCTGTGATTTGTTCTTGACACCTGATGAAGATCGCTTTGCGTCGTGATCGAAACGTCGTGATTGTTTTTGGTTTTAATATAATTTAATTGTATTTCTACACACGTGACTTTACCGAAAAAACCCAATGAGTAAGGACACTCGTGTTGATAGGGGGTCACAGCGCTGGTGGCCATCTTGGGTAGGGATATTCGTGTTGATAAAGATTAGTGCTAGCGGCCATCTTGGGTAGGGATACTCGTGTTGATGGAGGTTCCATTGCTGGTGGCCATTTTGAATAGGGACACTCATGTTGATAGGGGTCACAGTGCTGGTGGCCATCTTGGGTAGGGATATTCGTGTTGATAAATATTAGTGCTGGCGGCCATCTTGGGTAGGGATACTCGTGTTGATGAAGGTTCCATTGCTGGTGGCCATTTTGAATAGGGACACTCATGTTGATAGGGGGTCACAGCGCTGGTGGCCATCTTGGGTAGGGATGTCGGTGTGTTGTGAAGACTTTCTGATGGACGTCCTGGCTGGCTGGCTCGTAAAAGATATAATAGATTGTTACGACACACACACGTCTCTTGCTTAACCAGTTTAATAGTATGACTTGCATGCTTCACATATAGAATTTTGTTAATGCATTGATTATGTTTTAAACACACACAAACACAGACCCATAACAGAAGGGGTTTTTTGGGGGGGGTTAAATTGCATATAAATATATAAATGTTGAGTCGTGAAACCCGCCACCACCCGACACAGGCAATTAGTAAGGTTTGTCACGTAAACAGAACGTGCCAATTCGTTACTAGTACAGCATTAGTGTATAATGCAGTGTATAGTGTAGTAGTGTACAGTGTAGTGTGTAGTGTAGTGTATAGTGTAGTATATAGTGTAGTATACTAGTACAGCACGAGTGTATAGTGTAGTATATAGTGTGTAGTGTAGTGTGTAGTATACTAGTACAGCACTACACCGGTGTGTTGGAGAGTAAATCCACAACATTTACAATCTGAGTACCATGACATGAGTGGAGAAGTCCTCCCCTTTCGTTTCTTAAACGTCGTACTCAGATAGTTAACGTTGTGGATTAAAATTTCGATTCATGGATTTGTGGATTTACTCTCCCAACGCACCGTTTGATGCTGTACTCGTAACGAATTGACAAACCTTACTAATTGGCTGTTGTATCGTGCGTATCATTTATATTTGCGCGATCCAACCCCCCCAAAAAAAACCCCTATATGGATGCTATATTGATTGCGAAAGCCTACTGACGTGCATTTGCGACAATCCCGCCAACGCGCGAGCTTGAAAAAAAGGACTTCAATTTGAAGGTGACGCTCAAGTTAAAAAGTCAATTTCACAATGAACCGAGCTCTGAGGCTCGGATTGGCAACTGATCATCATTGAAAATCGTTTCGTGACAGGATTCCATCCATATTCCTAGTTTTTTCGGTAAAGTCACGTTGAAGAGAAACAACAAAATAACAAAATATATATAAAACAATAAAAAATTCTCGCGACGTTTCGACCATAACTCAAACGGTCATCATGACCGACGTTTCGACCATAACTCAAACGGTCATCATGACCGTTTGAGTTATGGTCGAAACGTCGTGAGAATTTTTTATTGTTTTATATATATTTTGTTATTTTGTTGTTTCTCTTCAACGTGACTTTACCGAAAAAACTAGGAATATGAATTACTGCAGTCACGAAAGCTTTAAATCAAAAGGATTCCATCCGTTTAAAAACACGTAGGCTTTCGCGACCAATGTTGTCCAGAACAGAGGATATTTTATCGGGGGGCTCCATCGCGTAAATCGCATTCACGCGATGGAACTCCTCGGAAAATAAAACGAAAAAAAAGCCTCTGTTATGGAAGATTCTATCCACTGACAGGTTCGAGCGGTGGACAGCAATTCCACGTTTTGGAAGGAGGAGGAGGAGGAGGGGGAAGAGGAAGGGGGGGAGGAGGGGGAGGAGGAGGAGAAGGAAGAGGAGGAAGAGTAGATGGAGTAGGAGAATGAGGAGGAAAAGTAGGAGGAGGAGAAGCAG